GGTCCAATCTCACTCAGTCAGACTCTACCTCCTGCGGTCCAATCTCACTCAGTCAGACTCTACCTCATGCGGTCCAGTCTCACTCAGTCAGACTCTACCTCATGCGGTCCAGTCTCACTCAGTCAGACTCTACCTCCTCCGCTCCAGCCTCACCAGTCTCACTCAGTCAGACTCTACCTCCTGCGGTCCAGTCTCACTCAGTCAGACTCTACCTCCTGCGGTCCAGTCTCACTCAGTCAGACTCCACCTACTGCGGCCCAGTCTCACTCAGTCAGACTCTACCTCATGCGGTCCAGTCTCACTCAGTCAGACTCTACCTCCTTCGGTCCAGTCTCACTCAGTCAGACTCTACCTCCTGCGGTCCAGTCTCACTCAGTCAGACTCTACCTCCTGCGGTCCAGTCTCACTCAGTCAGACTCTACCTCCTGTGGTCCAGCCTCACTCAATCAGACTGTACCTCCTGCTGTCCAGTCTCAGTCAGACTCTACCTCCTGCGGTCCAATCTCACTCAGTCAGACTCTACCTCATGCGGTCCAGTCTCACTCAGTCAGACTCTACCTCCTGCGGTCCAATCTCACTCAGTCAGACTCTACCTCCTGCGGTCCAATCTCACTCAGTCAGACTCTACCTCATGCGGTCCAATCTCACTCAGTCAGACTCTACCCCATGGGGTCCAGTCTCACTCAGTCAGACTCTACCTCATGCGGTCCAGTCTCACTCAGTCAGACTCTACCTCCTGCGGTCCAATCTCACTCAGTCAGACTCTACCTCATGCGGTCCAATCTCACTCAGTCAGACTCTACCTCCTGCGGTCCAGTCTCACTCAGTCAGAATCTACCTCATGCGGTCCAATCTCACTCAGTCAGACTCTACCTCATGCGGTCCAGTCTCACTCAGTCAGACTCTACCTCCTGTGGTCCAGCCTCACTCAATCAGACTGTACCTCCTGCGGTCCAGTCACAGTCAGACTCTACCTCCTGCGGTCCAGTCTCACTCAGTCAGACCCTTCCTCCTGCAGTCCAGTCTAACTCAGTCAGACTCTGCCTCATGCGGTACAGTCTCACTCAATGCGGTCCAGTCTCACTCAGTCAGACTCTCCCTCCTGCGGTCCAGCCTCACTCAATCAGACTCTACCGCCTGCGGTCCAGTCACAGTCAGACTCTACCTCCTTCGGTCCAGTCTCACTCAGTCAGACCCTTCCTCCTGCAGTCCAGTCTAACTCAGTCAGACTCTGCCTCATGCGGTACAGTCTCACTCAGTCAGACTCTATCTCCTGCGGTCCAGTCTCACTCAGTCAGACTCTACCTCATGCGGTCCAGTCTCACTCAGTCAGACTCTACCTCCTGCGGTCCAGTCTCACTCAGTCAGACTCTACCTCCTGAGGTCCAGTCTCACTCAGTCAGACTCTACCTCCTACGGTCTAGTCTCCCTTACTCAGACTCAACCTCCTGCGGCCCCGGATAATTTGAGTTTGAAACCCTTTGTTACAGAATCTGTAGTAGGGAATATAGATCTGTTCAATTGGATTCAGTGGACCATCCATAAATGACGTCACACGTTTAGAGAAAATAATAATAATAAAGTTTATTTCAAAAACACGCTTTATCCCCAAAGGCTCGAAGCGCGGTACAAAGTCAACAAAAAACAAATCTATAATTTACCACATTTAAAACAAATGCAACACTACAAAAACTAATTATAAACATACAATGTCAAAGTCTTTCTACCCATTTCAACCCTAAGTAACACAGCCAATATGCATTAAATGGAAGATATGGTAGAAAAAAAGGGGTGGTGTCATATTTTGCTGTCGATGTCATGTGTGACGGGGGCTTGTTTAATTAAGCGATGTGACTTCACAGTAAAAAGTTGAAAATTACATTAAAAAGTTGTTTCATTTCATGATCAACGCTACCGTATCAGAGCAAACGAGAACTCCACTCCACTTCTTTGTTTCCCTTTCAAAAATCCCCATCAACGCGGTGGCTCGTGCCGTGATAGGTAGGCCTAGGCCTATTGCTTAATAGCCTTGGAAATCTTCGCCTACAAGGACAGCCCGCACCATCACTCGGCTGACTTTCTTGTTGCTCTCCCAACATCAGCAGTCGACTTTCCCAGGGGTCGGGATGGTATATTTACGTCCTAACCCCCCCCCCCCATTTTCCATACCGGGGAAGCGTTGGACGCCCTCCAATAGTGTTTTTTTACGGTGGGTTTCTACTTCGCAAATCGCTCAAGCAGTTGCTGTAATGAAACGGTTGCCTAGGAACAGCCTTCATAGCTGTAATGAAACGGTTGCCTAGGAACAGCCTCAATAGCTGTAATGAAACGGTTGCCTAGGAACAGCCTCCGTAGCTGTAATGAAACGGTTGCCTAGGAACAGCCTCCGTAGCTGTAATGAAACGGTTGCCTAGGAACAGCCTCCGAAGCTGTAATGAAACGGTTGCCTAGGAACAGCCTCCATAGCTGTAATGAAACGGTTGCCTAGGAACAGCCTCCGTAGCGGTAATGAAACGGTTGCCTAGGAACAGCCTCCGTAGCTGTAATGAAACGGTTGCCTAGGAACAGCCTCCATAGCTGTAATGAAACGGTTGCCTAGGAACAGCCTCCGTAGCTGTAATGAAACGGTTGCCTAGGAACAGCCTCCGTAGCTGTAATGAAACGGTTGCCTAGGAACAGCCTCCATAGCTGTAATGAAACGGTTGCCTAGGAACAGCCTCCATAGCTGTAATGAAACGGTTGCCTAGGAACAGCCTCCGTAGCTGTAATGAAACGGTTGCCTAGGAACAGCCTCCGAAGCGGTAATGAAACGGTTGCCTAGGAACAGCCTCCTCAATGTCATACTTCTCAAATTTCCTATGGTGTGCATCAACTTAAAATTGGAAAGCATTAGTAGTCTTTTGCAATAAACAAAAGCTGATCCAAATGTTCTGTTTCAGCAATTATTTTTGCACCAAAGTTCCAAAGGCCATTTCACCGCAGACTTTACGAGAGCAATCAACAGATGAAAAGTACTGGCCATTTCACCACGGACTTAACGAGAGCAATCAACCAATTAAAAGTATTGCCATTTCACAGCAGACTTAACTAGAGCAATCAACAAAAGAAAAGTATTGGCCATTTCACCACAGAATTTACGAGAACAATCAACAAATGAAAAATATTGGCCATTTCACCAATGACTTTAAGAGAGAAATCAACAAATTAAAAGTATTGCCATTTCACTGCAGACTTAACTAGAGCAATCAACAAATGAAAAGTATCAGAGGCGTAGCGAGGGGACGGCAGGGGGGGACAGATGTCCCCGAGCGCCAGGTAGTTAGGGGCGCCAAAATGTGCTTTGATATTATATTATTGATGAAAATAATGGGTTTAAGAGTTGAAAAAAAAAAAGAAAAGGGGCGCTTTACAATGGATCTTGTCCTCGGGCGCGAATTTTGTCCCCAGGCGCCAAACACCCTCGCTACGCCTCTGAAAATTGTTGGCCATTTCACCACAGACTACACAAGAGCAATCAACAAATGAAAAGTATTGTCCAAATAGATTTAGGAATCAAATTTTTATCTGTCTTTTAGTAATATTTAGTGCAAGACAGCGGAGAGGCTAAGATGGAAATAAAACATGCCAACGAAAAAAGCACTCTAGGCTTGAAGAAGCTCTAGAACAAGTAGCAAATAGACATCCTACAGCTTCCTAAGCTTGAAGAGTATAAAATGAGTAAAACAAAGTAGGGTGGCACAATTCATTGCTGCCCACAAATACTACTTTTAAGTGATATTTTTTAATTTTATTCTTTTTTTTCCCCCTGTTGTTTTGTTCGTGTCCTGTCGACACGTTCGTTGTTTTGTTCGTGTCCTGTCGACACGTTCGTTGTTTTGTTCGTGTCCTGTCGACACGTTCGTTGTTTTGTTCGTGTCCTGTCGACACGTTCGTTGTTTTGTTCGTGTCCTGTCGACACGTTCGTTGTTTTGTTCGTGTCCTGTCGACACGTTCGTTGTTTTGTTCGTGTCCTGTCGACACGTTCGTTGTTTTGTTCGTGTCCTGTCGACACGTTCGTTGTTTTGTTCGTGTCCTGTCGACACGTTCGTTGTTTTGTTCGTGTCCTGTCGACACGTTCGTTGTTTTGTTCGTGTCCTGTCGACACGTTCGTTGTTTTGTTCGTGTCCTGTCGACACGTTCGTTGTTTTGTTCGTGTCCTGCCGACACGTTCGTTGTTTTGTTCGTGTCCTGCCGACACGTTCGTTGTTTTGTTGCGTTCCCTTTTTTTTTTTTTTCAAGTTTAACCCTACTTTATTTTACTCATTTTATATTTGCTAACCTGATTGCAGTCTCTCCCCTTATTACCCTAAGCTTGAAGAAGCTCTAGAACAAGCAACCAATAGACATCCTTCAGCTTACTATGCTCGAATAAGCTCTATAACAAGTAAAATATAATATATTAAAGGTACATCAAAACAAGACATTTAAAGAACCCCGGTCAGCAAAGCAGTTGCTGAGAGGATATTTTCTCTTGTCTCTTCTGGCCATGAACCAAGTTCAACCTAATCTCCTTGAAGCTATTTAACAAATAAGAACAAATGTCCTGTTTTCAAGCAAAGATGTAAAGATGTCATTAGTTCAAACGTTATTATCACTAACTTCACAATATAAAAAGTGTAAGCGATTTCTTCAAGCAGTGACACAGGTGACATCGTTGATGAGTGATGACTGATGACCTGTGTGTAGAACTTTTCAATTGAAACTATTTTAAGCTATTACGTATGTATACAAACATTTAATAAATATTTTAAAATTTAAATTTACTCGATGAATATTAAGACAAGTAACTTATTTTTACATTATTTAGTTTTTCAAAAGGACCAACTCTATCTTTTTCTAGAATAGTCTATATCTTAAATATATATACTGTTTTTTAAAGTTTGGCCTTTTTGTCTTTTGGTTTAGCTTTTTTGTTTGGCATTTTTGACCTTGGTTTGGCCTTTTTAAAATGTTCATCTGGCAACCCTGGTTGATAGTTAATATAAGGGTTATCGTTTTGGCCATTTTCACTAGAATACAGAATTTATCTTCTTCTGTCGGGTTTCTCCAGTAAAAGCTTTCCTAGTTTTGAAAATACAAGAGCGCACTTGAGTATTGACTAATGTTACAGTTCTTGACCTTTCACCTCCGAATTTTAATAATAAAAGATAAATTTAAAAAGTAACATAAAATAACTTTACATTTTTCAAATTATTTGTCACATTTTTTAAATAAAAATATTATTGTAATTATTTATTTATTATTTAGATTTAGTTGTTTAAAGTTTAGGATATACATTATTATTATCATTATTCATTATACTATACTTATAAGACTAAGACTAAGACTTATACTTATACGTATATTATATTATTTTAGGCAAGGATTAAAATTTAACTTAAATTTTAAGTGATAGTTATTTCACTGTGCAGCTATGCACTATTATTTATTATAATTATTAACTATAAATATAGGCCATATAATATGCACCTGTGCATGGCATAGTATAAGTCCAGTATAGGCGCCATGGTCATTCATAGTCATAGTCGAGTCATAGTAATCATATCATCTCCAAAATCAAAACCCGTCTCATACTCGTGTCATAACATAAATAAAATACTATACTGTTATACTATAAGTATACGGAAACTTCATATTCATGTAATTAACTAATATTAATTAAGCTAAGCATTAAATTATCTTTCAATCTCTTACTGTTAATAATAATAATAATAATAATAGAGTAGGCAGGCATTGAATATAGGCCTAAGTAGTAATACTGATAGTTTATGGATTATGGCCCTTACTTTTTTCAATCAATTTTTGCTAAAAACTTTGTATTATAGTATATTTATTAATATTATTATAAGTTAATAAGTTACTATATTTATATTAAAATTATTATTATATAGTAAATTATATTATACATTTACTACATATGACATAGTATTATATATAAATTATATAGATAGATTAGGCCTACTATTTTATTTAAACTTAAACTACCATTATAATTATATTTATATGAATATGAATATGAAAAAAAAAAAAAAATTAAATTCTGCAGTAATTAGACTAAAATTCTGAGAGTCCATACAGCCATCTATTACATAAAAATATTTGAAATCCATGATTTCTAATTGTTTTCAAATACTATAAAAATATCACCTCAATGTTTCATTATCATCATCCTATTACTTTTTGACTTTTTTGTTTTTTTAACAAGTTAACTGCTTGAAATCGCACTAGTTTTACAGTATATTAAGTCCACCATTCTTCTTTGTATGTTTTAGTGTGTGTGATGTCATTCTTTTTTCTGCTACAGCAGTGGTTGCTAAAATATTTTTATTCTCTGCATGCTCGCAGAATTTAGGTTTTACCCAGGTGCCCTATTAACAAGTACACTTAAAAACGGCAAATACATTTTTGGAAATTCAAGGGTTGGTAAAAATAGATTAGAAATGTATGTAGATCACTACATACTACATAGGACCTTCTATTAACCATTTGTAGGACTTTTGCCAACAATAATTACTCAAGTGAGTAGTTGGTTCGCACCAGGTCAGCTAGATCTGGTGTTCTATCACATGTGATTGAAAGTAGAAAAAATAGTTTAAGTGGTGTAAGATTTCATGGCACCCCTTTGAGGAAGCCGACTTGCTCCCCAGGGCAATGCAACACCCTTTTTGGGGACCACGCCAGACAGGCAGCGTAAAAAACCATGACACATTTTTAACACTGTTTGCTGTGACATTATGATTTGTAAAATAATATAATCATAATGGCGCCTACTATAAACAAGTGCTTCAAAAATGATCCCCAATCTTACTCTCCACAATTACTTTACACCCACACCTAAAGCTATGACTCCTATGATTAATGGAATTGATATTTGGTATTATCAATATAATATGATACCTTAACAGTTATGACAAAAAAGTGCTAACAGGGGAGTAATTAACATCTTTGTCATTCTATTTTAAAGCAGATTTCTAAAGACAAACAATCTGCTTTAAAAGAATGGGAAACTTTTTTCGTAAAACAATGGATGATAACTTAAAGAAAAATCAGGAGTTCATGCTGAAGATGCAACAACTGCAGGTTAGTATGAATAATTAACAAATATTTTTAGCATTCAGTGGTTTTTTTTTAAATTTGTAATGATTTGTATGGAACAATAAAATAATTTTGTGATTCCACTGATCACTTTCCTTAAAGGTGAATAACAAAAGTATTCCTGGTGTTAATTTAATACATTTCTATATTATCTCAAGGTTTTTTGTTTTTTATATCTGTCTCAAGGTGGTTTTTTTCAAATCTAGATCTACTTCTAATTTCATTTAGATATAACTGCTTATTGCCTGTAGTTAAAGTATTGCAAAATATAATGAGGAAAAATTATAACAGAATTATAAACCTTACATCATACTCTTAAGTTAATTTTCCTTGTCATCTTAGTTGTTGTATTTTCTTTACTTTTTCCCCTTGTCTCCCTTCTGATGAAGGCATTGTTTCATCTAAATTCAAGCTGTAGAAAGTTTGTTTTTTATATTTTGAAAAATTTAAGAAATAAGCCAATATATATATATATATATGTGTGTGTGTGTATATTTGTTTCTTACTTAATTGTTATTAATGTTAAATTTACCCACATTTTTAATTTATTTGTGTAACATCACAGCTTTGCATATTTTTGTTTTTCATTGCTAAAGCTGGAGCGTCAACTGACCATGCAAAATGAAATGAGAGAAAGACAGATGGCAGCCATGATAGCAAAATCAAGAGATATCTTCTGGTTTTATACTGCTTTTGATAGCATAGTCTCTGTTGCTCTTACAGCTGGGTAAGTAAACGATTTTTAGTGTATTTTTATGTGAGATTATCAGATTTAATTCCATTCTCTTTAATGATTGCTCTTTTCAGTGATAGACCAACTGCTATCAAACAAAAATGAATAAAAGAATCCATTAGTATTTATAAAGAACAAAATTTTAAAAACATACTTAATACAGATTTTCTGTTTTAAAGAGTTTACTCACACAGCTGAAAAAGTCCTTATGTATTTTAATGGCATAAGCAAGATAATAACTCGCTAATGGAATTTAAATGAGAAGGGAGAAAAGCACTTTTATTTTTAAATATAATAAATACAAATGGTAGTACATATTCTAACCCATATTTTTGTTTTAATTCAGAGCATTACGCACAAAACGATATGGTCTACTTTCACCACTGATTCCATTAAGCTTTGTGTTTGCTTACCAATATGACCTGGCATATGGATCTAAGTTAGAAAGAATTAGAGGTAAGACACAATGTTCAAAATTATAAAGGTAAAATAATAAAATTAAAATGTGCCTAAAGATTTGGTTATTGAAGAATGATATTTTCAAACCCTAGCTATTTTAGAATTAATAAGTGGAGACTGTTTGGCGGAGGCATTAAGACTTACGAAAAGCTTTCGGGTGGTCTTGGGTTCAAGTTCCATACCAATAAACCACTCACCAGGCCTCCCAAATCCTTACCATGAAATTCAAAGAATAAGGGAGAAAACTCAGACTGACAAAATCCCAGTATAGATACAATAATATTATTAAGTTTAAGCATGGGGCAATAATAGCAGGCTGAAGCTAGATGTACTATTAACTATTTAAGGCCAGAAACAAATGAATGATGTCACAATGGAAACATATGGAGATGAAGAGATATAATTAAAAATATAATTTTAAAAAATTAAAAAAATATAAATGTAAAATGAAACACAAAATTTGTTTTAATCAAATCAATTCTTAGTTTGTGAGCTCAGTCTAATTTGTAAATTTTAAGAGAGGGCAATAGTTAAATCATATATTCTGTGTTTATTTATGTTTTATAACTCACAATTCACCCAATTTGCTTAAACTTAAAACTAAATAATAAATCATCTTCATAATTAAAATCATGTTAACTTTAGTGATAGATAAATAACTAAAGAACATTTCATGCAATGGAAGAAAAAAAATTAAACTTAATGCATGAACTATAAGAATCTCGCAATACATTAAAAGATATTTTTATGAAGTCACCTGATAAGTTTGATCATTAATTTATTTTAAAAAAAACACAATTTTTTCAGAAATGGCTGATCGTATAATTGATGAAGAGCACCATCTCTTAGATGTTCCTCATGGGCTACCAACATTTTCTTCTATTGAACACGCTCGGTTGGAACAAAAGAAAGATACTGAATACAAACCAGGACATGACATATTTTTGTAAACCCAGACATTTTTAAGGTTTATGATAAAGGGAGGTAAAATTTGTCAATGCATAAAGATTTAATATTTATCAGTTTGATAAGTAAGGGAAAATGGCATTATGTTAAAAGAAAATTTATCCCCAGCCTTATTAATGGACAATGGTTATCTTTAGGCGATATGATTTTGATAAATATCTCAATTATTTGTGGATTGTCATTGTATTATTATTATAATAATTTGTTTAGTATTTTAAAAAGTTAGTTTTTTTCAGGTTATATACTTGATGAGCATCACCAACATGCGTAACTTTGCTGGTTAAAATAGGTTGTCTTTATTTTTATATTGTTATTATTTATAACATCAAGTGAATCGGTCTTTATAATTATAACGGTATTCAATGTCTTCTTCCTGTATGACTTAAAAATTTTTGTACAAATAATTTTATACATTTTTACATGTCATTTATCCATGATGAACACACTTGTACTTTAGTCATGATTGTTGCTGTAATCACCATTTATATTAAGGTATGCTTTACTGTGCATATCTGCATATCGTCTAGTTAGTAGTCATCCTATAGATCTACCTTATTTGTTTTTAAAGAGAATACATATAGTTTCTTGTTAGTGTCATCAACTTTTATAATTATTTACTTACTTTTGATAAAGCCATGTTTTTCTGATACATTTCATACCTTCATTTCATTGACATTTCATATGAAATAAAAAGCATTATGTGATCTGTAGGTAAATCTAACCAGGACTGACATCTTCTTTTACGGAAATTTTTTTTTTCTTGAAACATACAAATTGATTTGCTTGAGATATCATTTAAAATAGTTTGTAAAATAGTGTCATATTTTTGCAATCAAGTATAATATGGGACCTCTTCGTAACACTTTAAAATATTTTATACATGGCAAAAAAAAGATGAAGATATTGCTTGTTTACTATTCAAACCCAGCAGAGTTTTTATTTTTTTACACAGCTGTGAAAAGAAAGTTTAATGTTATTTTGTCCATATATCATGTGTTTTTGTTAAAATTCATATATTTTACTTTGATTTACAATTATACACTATTTTTACCTCTTTTGCTATTGTTCATTTCTATGTATGCCAAACATGTAACTAATTTAGTTATATTTTATTTTACACCTTACTTATTAATACATTTCTTTACAAGGACATATTTGTTATTTACTCTTTGATAATTACACTCTGTGACACTCACACCCTGTGACACTCACACTCTAAACAAATTTGGCAGTTCCTGAAAAAGTCCTGGTCAAAGCAAATTGAAATGTTTTAGAGAATAGAAATAGGCTGCAAAAAAGAGTTGTTCCATGCAGATGTAAATTTAATGATAGAAATTGTATAAATAATGGAGGCATTTTATAAAGTGATGCAGGCATTTTTTTCGAAACATTTGTCAAATGGGCTGTAACTTTAACAATTTACTTTCCCTGTTTATTTGTTGTCTGCATAAGCTTATGAAAATATAACTAATAAAGACTTTAAAAATTATACTGCCAAATTGTTTTATCACTAAAAGTTCACAATTTCAACGAATATCCCAGATCATTTAAGAAGGCTTCCATTGAAACTTTACTTGTTAGAGCTTTAAAAATTACATAGTAATTTATGAAATTAAATAAAGTGAAGATATTTTCTCAGGAATAATTTTTTGCTTTTCTGAATTGATTTTAATTTTATGAAACCATAAGAACATACTTTAATACCCGGCACACTATGAACAATATTAGCGCAACATGAATACATAGAAATGGAAGGAAAAACTGAGATTGGTCTATTTTACTTTAAAACATCTATTGTGGATGAAAAGCCATTGAAAAAAAACCCAGACATATCAATGAAATGAACCACATATCTAACTTGTTTTCTGCCAGCAGTAATTCTAGCTATTATAAAATTACATAATGTTAGTGACAAAGTCTCTGAATTCTATTTATTTAGTCTCAAAAGCATCCATAAGCTTGGACGATAGTGTTAAGCACTCTACTCTGTTACTTTTAATTCAACTATAATCTCAGTACCGGTACTTAAAATAATCATGTTTTTTGTTCAGTTTGCTCCTCTTTAACAAAGTCATTTTTTCATAAAAATGAACAACACTGATCTTTTTTTTGTTTTACATTACACATACATGTAATAAAAAATGAACAAAGCTTTGTGATTATTAGGATCTATATTTTATTATTTTTTTTAATTTTACATAAATTCTGACAGCTATAAAGTAGCTAAAATTTTATACATCTCATCTTGAGGACTTTTAAAATGTGCAGATATCACAGTTTCCTCTGAGTTTAATCTTGAGATTAGATCATTAAGAAATACCCTGAATGCCTTTCTTTTAGTGTCTTTCCAAAGATTAGGGTTAACTTCCAAATTCTGGTAGTGATAAATTAAATATTTAGTCACCATCTCCAGTTGTCTAACCTGAAGAGAAAAATAATTATGATTATTCTAATTACACTCTCATTAAAAATCATCCATACCAAACTTGGTTAATGGATGCAAAAAGTAAAAGAATAAACATTGGAAATGTTAGGACCAATGTTCCAGACCTGTTTACTCTTATGATTTTGGCGTCCATTGTTATGATTTTCAGATGTCTTTTACAATTATATGCCGACACCCGCCAGAACTACGATTTTACAAAAAACAAATATATATATATACCGGTGCCTTTTAAGCTTAAAAAAAAAGTTTTTGGTTGTTAGTTTTAGCGCCTTTCTATACTTCGTGTTGAATGGACAGAGAAATACCATAGGCTAGGTACCATCCTCTTTCTATACTTGGTGTTGAATGGACAGAGAAATACCATTGGCTAGGTACCATCCTTAATTATATAATTGGTGTTGAATGGAGAGAGAAATACCATTGGTTAGGGAACCATCCTCTTTCTATACTTGGTGTTAAATGGACAGAGAAATACCATTGGCTAGGTACCATCCTTAATTATATAATTGGTGTTGAATGGACAGAGAAATACCATTGTCTTGGGACCATCCTCTTTCTATGCTTGGTGTTGAATGGACAGAGAAATACCATTGGCTAGGGACCATCCTTAATTATATACTTGGTGTTGAATGGACAGAGAAATACCATTGGTTAGGAACCATCCTTAATTATATAATTGGTGTTGAATGGACAGAGAAATACCATTGGTTAGGGACCATCCTCTTTCTATACTTGGTGTTGAATGGACAGAGAAATACCATTGGCTAGGTACCATCCTTAATTATATAATTGGTGTTGAATGGACAGAGAAATACCATTGTCTTGGGACCATCCTCTTTCTATGCTTGGTGTTGAATGGACAGAGAAATACCATTGGCTAGGGACCATCCTTAATTATATACTTGGTGTTGAATGGACAGAGAAATACCATTGGCTAGGTACCATCCTTAATTATATACTTGTGGGGGGAAAGGAGGTTGTGCGGACTTGACACGTACAGTAGGGAGGGGTAGGGGATAACATCACTATGTTTTGTAATAATAATCATATTGTTTTGTGTTTTCACAATGAACTTGCTACATCCACCAAGAGTAATATTTAGCATATTTGCCCTAGTGTCAAATTTTTTAAACATTCAATTTTGATTGCTTCGGTGCTGAATAGAATAATTGTGAAAACAGAAAACTATGAATTTTTTTAGAATGCATTCTCAACTGCTCTGCACAGCAGAATTACATTTTTACATATTTTATACCTAATAAGCAGCATTTGAAATCTATTTTTAGGAGTCATAATTTTTGTGTGCCCGTAAATGCCATTTCGTTGAACCTGCCTCTTTTTTGGACTGATTTAAAATAGATTAAAATAAGTAATAAATATTAAACAATTTTACTATTTAGCAACTACTAAAATAAAAATGATTGACATAAATACACCTAGGTAAGGGGAACCTAATGTTCCCCAAGCATTATGATGACGTGTAGAATGGTACAAAACTATATCAGAGTGACATTAACTCAATTGGATGCAGCATCGATCCCATTTATTTTATACTAACCGATAAACAAATCTGCCACCCAGCACTAAAACCAGAAGTAGAATGAAATAAAAACATCACAAATATCTGGACTGTTACAACTCCCAAAAATTCATCGTGAACATTGTGTGAGCATCCAGACAGCTGATTTGTTTTGACTGGTGCAATAATAACTTTCTGCTGCTCCATGGAAATGCAATGAACTTGAATCAAACTTCTGAGGTTGTATACATATTTTAAAAGTGTTTGTTCCATTTCCTGCAAAACAAATTATGTTTAATTAATTTTTTCATGTAATAAGGAAGATGATTTATGAAAGTTCCAAACCAAAAATAGCCAAGTATAAGAACTGGTGAAAAATAACAATATTTTCTTTTAACTAATATACAAATTTACTGGATTTAATTTGTAATACCGGTAAACAAAATTTAATAATAATAATAATAATAAAGATTATTTGAAAATCACGCTTCATCCCCAATGGCTCGAAGCGCGGTATATACCACATTGAAGTACAAAATTCAACATTACAAAACTACATACAAGAATACCCATTCTAAGTCTTTCATACCTTGCAACCATAAACAACACAGGCCAATATTCATCTAAAAGATAACAGCTAGATAGACAACATCACCCCAGCAGATGTTTGCGAAAAAGATAAGTCTTTAAATCAGTTTTGAAAGACTCCAGTGTCTGGCTGTTTCTGATAGCGATAGGAAGAATGTTCCAAATTGTTGGGCCAGCAAATGCGAAAGTGGGCCCATCGTAAGTCTCAAGGCGAACACGTGATATCGAGAGTTTGCCACAATCAGATGAGCGGAGTTGTCTAATGGGTACACGAGGCATAAGTAGCGCTTTGAGATAGGACGGCGCCAGGTCATGCAAGCAGCGGTAGCACTGAGTTGCAATTTTGTACTCTATGCGAGCACAGACCAGCAGCTAATGCAACTCTCTCAGAAGTGTTTTAGCATGGTCGAATTTGCGTTTTCGAAGAACAATGCGAACCGCATTATTCTGTCCTTTTTGAATTTTATTCAGGAGCGTAGCTGGAAGACCCACCATAAGAGCATTGCAATAGTCCATGCGTGATAGCACGAATGCAGACATCAGCCTCTTCGATGCGTCTAATGTTAAGAAAAGTCTGATATGACTAATTCTGCGGAGCTCTAGAAAAATCGCCTTGCATGTTAATGTGATTTTCCATAGTTAGTGTTCTTTTTATGTAGACACCCAGGTTTCGCACCGTTTGAGAAAACTCTATCTGTATAACTGAGAGAGTAAGGGTTTGTGTGTTAGTTATATATTTTAGCTTTTGAGCGGTAGCAATGGGGATCAGCTCGGTCTTTTCATCGTTCAATTTAAGCTTGTTTATGTTGTATGTTCATCCATTGGATAGTTATCTATATGTGTGCGAGGTAATCTGTCTTGATATTTCTGATGAACCATGGTAGCCCTAGTATGATGCAGCTTCTTTTAAATTGGCATAAAAAAACGGTATTCTTCAAAATGTAATAAAGCATTTCAAAAATAATGCTTCAAAATGTTTTGAAAATTTAATAAAGCTAGAATAAATAAGAATAGATACTACTTACTATGTAAGGTGGTGCATTAAATTTTACTTTATTATGTAGCAATATTAGCCACAAACATGATTTGATGTACTGAAAAAGAAAGAATGATATCCACTGTAGAAATTTTGAAATAGAGAAACCCCAGAAAGACATCATACATTAATCATACAATTAAATCAGATTCATTTTCCTCCACCTAAAATTCAATATTCATGAATTCAAAGCTCAATTAAGAACCAACACTTTCTATGACTTCATCCGATTTTCATATGACTTCACCAGATTTTCATATGACTTCATCAGGTTTTCATTTGACTTCATCAGGTTTTCATATGACTTCATCAGATTTTCATATGACTTCATCAGATTTTCATATGACTTCATCAGATTTTCATATGGCTTCATCAGGTTTTCATATGACTTCATCAGGTTTTCATATGACTTCATCAGGTTTTCATATGACTTCATCAGGTTTTCAAATGACTTCACCAGATTTTCATATGACTTCATCAGATTTTCATATGACTATCAGATTTTCATATGGCTTCACCAGATTTTCATGACTTCATCAGGTTTTCATATGACTTCCTCAGGTTTTCATATGACTTCATCAGGTTTTCATATGACTTCATCAGATTTTCAAATGACTTCACCAGGTTTTCATATGACTTCACCAGATTTTCATATGAATTCATCAGATTTTCATATGGCTTCATCAGATTTTCATATGGCTTCATCAGATTTTCATATGACTTCATCAGATTTTCATGACTTCTTCATATTTTCGGCATTATATAAAATTACAAAGAATAAAAATCCCTGACCTCGATTCTTTTTAAAAATATTTCATTCACTGTTATAAATATAATTAAAATACTTCATACACTATTATAAATATAATTAAATTACTTCATACACTGTTATAAATATAAGGTTATCAATGAGTTCTTCCATGATATTTGAATGTTTATTGATTAGTTGGTATTAATACCTTCTGCTCGCAAATCAAGACATTGTCAAGAGCAGCAGACACCCATTCTCTGTACTCAATTGTTAGATCTATTAGATCATCATGAAAATCACATTTCTCTGAGACGGTTGCATTGTGTGGAGGTGTGTTTTGAACATGCCTGTCATCTAAAACTTCAGGATGCTCCATGAGTTTGGTCCATTCTTTTTGTAATTCATAAAGACAATGACAAACAGATGGCTGAGAGGAACCTGAAAATAAAGTTATAGTCACTATTTAAAAAAAAAAACTTTTTTATTGACTGAAGAACTTACATAAAAATTAGCATACTAGAAAATGCCATCATATAATTTTAAATTAATTAAAAAGCAATTCTTTTAAATAGTCAATAAATACAATTTAATGATGTATAAGCCTACTTTGAGGAGTTGTACTCAAAAGAGATTTAAAAACTGCAGATTTCCCTGGTCTTCTGAGAATGTGAACCTATGCGAAAATTAAAATAAAAAAAGTATAAATGAACACGGACCCTGTACAAGAAAATTTCTGAGTAAAAATTTAAATGTTTTGTCATCATTCCTCATTCCACTTTCCTTTTAAAATGAAAGATTTAAGACATCATTGCAAATATTTTAATTTCAACATAAATCATCTGTTATCACTGTTATATTACAAATTGCTAATATTTTAAGAGAGCAATAAAATTATTGATAACTTTAAAAAAGTTGCTAATTTTAATGTTGAGCAATTTTTGTACAAAGTGTGCTTAACATTGTTTAAAATACAAACAACTTGTAATAATTTATGTCCCTTAATTATTTCAAACTTATTTTGTTTTGCACACCTAACTCTGATGAAAACTAGAAGATGTATTGCACACAATAATAATCAACTATTGGTAAATGCTAAATTAGTAAGCTATCAAAACCTGATCTTGATAAGGAGTTCCAACTGCCCTTTGTCTTGATGCACGGCAAAACATTGCAAGGAGATCAACTAAAATATCTGGGTAATCAGACTGTAAGGAAATGGAACTTATCATACGATACACTGTCTGGTAAATGAGTGGCTCTCTGCTGGAAACTTCAGCCTATAATGAACATAATGAGATGCGGAATTGAATGTTTTATTAAAATTAAGCTGATGACCTTTGGTAACAATCCATGTGTGTACGTAAATATTATAGGGCTAAATATCTGGATTACCACCCTTAATCATGGTACAGCTAGAAAAATTAAAAATTCACAAAATAAAAATAATATTTTTCATAGTATAGATAATCACCATTGAACTGGAATGCGTAAGGAATACCAATGTAGTCATAATATGCCTATTTAACAAATGTATTACTTAATAAATAATATGTATTACTCTTTGTAACATAACATATTTAGTATTTTTTCAAGAACCTGAAAATTATTGAACTAGCACCCTTGAAAATTTATCAAATACAACTGCAACCATAAAGAGATAAAAGAAATTATTTCAAAACATACAATTTTATAATTTTTAAAAATTTCAAACACTCCTGGACCCAGAGGGCTGAAATTTTGCATGTATCATTGGCTATGTAAATTATTTTTCAAACCAAGTTTGTCCCACAGGACCTAAAATTTTAAGTATAACTTCCATTATTGGGGCCCCCAATCCAATTTAAAACTTTAAACATTGCCTAGGATATTTATGTGTAAGAATTATGAAAGGGCCCCCTTTAAATGATACTTTGAATCCTTGTTTACAATTTTTAAAGTTAAAATTTATCTAATTTATTTTCATTGAGCCCCTATTAAATTTATAACTGTAGAACCTTAAGGAACCATTCGGAGCTTTTAAAGATTACCTGAAATATTAATAAGAAGAAAATGAAAAGGGGCAATATTAATGTAATAAATTAAATGGCATCTTTTGGACTTGGCTCAAACAGTGACCACTCAACAGATTTACAACTATCGCAAATAAAGGATTTTGATAGAGTGAAAAATTAAATGGTAAATTGTGCACTGGAATCTCCAGCTAGGCAACTTAAATTATTTTCAGCTTTTAAAGCTTGAATATATCTTTAAAGAATTTTCATATGTCCAATATAGAATGATAAATTAAATGATACATTTTGGTCCTGATCCCTGACGGGGCCTCTCAATCAAATAAAGTTTAACATCTTTGCCCCTCAAGCGATATAAAAATATTAAATACTGAATATTCATCTACAGGATTTATATATGGCCCTTTTTAAAAGATAAAGAAGCTATCTGAAGGAAATGGTAGAACAAGATACTTTTTGCTTAGACTATGTGAACTATATCTTTTTTTAGGCTAGGGTCCAATTTTTAATAATAAAAAAGGCCTTACCTACTAAATCTGGTGAATGATTTTACTTCTATAACTTGTAAAGTTTAACTGCTACATTTAAGTCTTAACTGTTGCACTATATTGATCAATTACTTCACTTTATGGACCAGTCCCTTCAACCAAGTTACAGTTTTTAAAAGTACTTTTCTAAATAATTTTTATAGGGCTCCCCCTCCAGTAATAAATTATACGACACATTATGGACAGCGCTGTTATGTTAGACTTAAGTCAATGTAATTCTGGGCAAAGCCGGGTATATCAGCTAATTAATTATTCTCACAATAAAACTTTTGTTCAGCACATCCCTAATCCTGGCAGGAAAACAGTACTTGGATGTTGAGATATGCTTGATAATTGTAAGAATAGTAAATTCCAAACATGGCAGGTGGGCCAGCCATAAACGATGCAGAACTGAAACTGGGATTGTTTCTGAAACAAAAATATTTGTTTAAATTAAATAAATCATATTTATTGTAAAAATATATCAAATACTTTGCTTAACTGGACATTAACTTTTTAAATAAACAGATAAGTATATTTAGGATCTATAAATAAATTACACTTTCACTTACTGTTATTTTTTTCTTCAAATAGCTCAGCTTGTTTTTGGTTAGCACTGTTAAAAACTGAAGTGATCTCTTCATCAATTGCAAAACTTGAGAGTCTATCAAAGAGTGCAACCCAAATTGAGGAAAATGTCGGATCATTTAAGAAAGGAACAAGATTATTTGCTAGCTTCACTAGGTCTTTTTTTCCAGATGGAGTTGACAGGTTTGAAAGGTCTGAAGCAACCTCAGCTATAATCTAATCAAAGATTTAAAAATTCAATAACTTGTTGAAAAAAATCATTATTTTATTAATATTATTATTTATTGTAAAAGAAAACATAGTGAAAACAAGATTTTAAATAAATGTAAAAGTCTGTCACTTAAAAAACAAAAACAATAATTATCATTTTAAGTAAGTGCTAATTGTCATCATAGAGAGAAGAATTAGACATTTTGCTCTTGGTTGTCTTTTGCTAAAAATAATAAAATAGTATGAATATAACCAACCTGTCTTTTGATACCTTCACGCAGTGAAGCTTGTGAGAAACAAAGACGACGCAAGGGTAAATCATTCAGGCTCAGATCCATTGTTTTTTAATTGAATGTTGTCATTCAAACCAATGCAATCTGTAAAAGTCGTATTTGAAAATTGTATATGTTAATTCAATTTAATTAAAAATATATGAATTTTATTAAGAGTACCATTTATTTCATGAAGGGATTTAAGTTAATAAAACACTTATATTGCACTATTTTATTAACCGGTATACCCTTTTTTAAAGTTGTGTAACAAGATAAAAATAAAACATGGATATAAAAAATACATATTTACAATATTTATTTTAATTATTAAGTCATTTAAAATTAAGTGGAATGGCCTGACAAAAAATATCATCAATAATATACATTATAAATATTTAGGTGGCCTAAGTTAGCCTAACTTATCAATTATTATTATTATCATTGTATGATTAGGGGGCGTCCATTAATTATGTCAATAATTTTTAAGCAATTTTGACCCCCCTGTTAACAACTGTCAAACTGCCCCTAAGTAATTATGTCAACATATGTTTACAAAAAAAAATGAATTACCCGGTATAACATAAATAAATATATAAATACATTTGACTTTGTGCTGATCTATTTTAATAACACAAAATTGTAGGGAAATCATTTTATTGCACCTTTAGCTTGATAATCAACAAGTTAAAAAGTTTTTAAACTGAAATTTTATAATGCAGAATAAATGAAAAGGTTGTTAAAGACTAAATATCATTGTTTGTGGAAGTAGAAATATGATTATTGTCAGTATAGCTGACAATTGTAGCATAGTTTCTAGCTGCTATCATCTTCCCAGGGAGTAGCTAGGTGTTGCTCTATCATAACAATGGGCATAGTAGCTGATTTATCATTTTCATCTTGCGGAATTGATATACCAGACACATCAACATCATCCTCATCTAACCATTCAGCACTTAAATAGAAGCATTGACAGTGTGAGCAATAACTGCCATAAGCTCTCTCAGTCTCCTGGCAGCTACTTGCATTAGTCAAATTTTTTTTTTGTTGCAGAGCAGGTGGTAATTTTTTATGCATTGTCGGTGTTGTTGAACTTGCTTTTTCAACATGACTTGTGATGCAAAATAGAAGCTACAGATTTTGCAAATCCGTTCAAGCAGCGATGTTATTATTGTTACTCACTTTACTTTCCCCTAATTCTCATAATATCATTTTCCTACTCTATCAATACCATTTATCTTGACTGCACATCACACTTGAACCTTGTCCTTGTTCCATACCTGCAACATGACCGCAAACATACCAACCTAGTCATTTGCGCAAATAGAATCTCCAGGCAAAGAGAGGCAAATGTTTGACTTCTCTTACACTAACAAATGTGCTAACATTCTGACCAACCATCAGCAGTGCACAGACAGACACACATTAATTTTCATTAAATAAATCTTATATTGTTAATAGCTTAAAAATTATATTATATAACTATTTTAATTTACACTCATTAAATTTGTTAAAATAATGGGTAGCCAAATAATGTAATAACCAGTCAATTTTTAAGATTAACATTTTAATAGAGAAAACATGATTGTTGACATCAACTAATCTACCCCCCTCCCCTTCCCGTCAATAATTGTCAGACATTTCCATCCCCCCCCCCCCCCCCAAAACCCTTTNCCCCCCAACCAAACCCTTTTTTTTTTGGTGTTGATATAATTTAATTAATGGACGACCCCTTAGTGGTAGTAAACTTAAACCAGAGATTACAGTTACAGTCCCAGTACTAGTAAATTACACCAGTCACATTAAAAATCCACAGTCAAACTATAGTACCCGGGACTCAAGGGAAATCAGAAACGTCAATCTTGGAATTGGAAAAAACTTGGCATTCAATCATTCAATTTCAATTTGTACTTGTTGGGAGACAATTTTCAGCTACGCCTACGGCTCTTATAAAATTTGATTGATTAAATATAATTAAGTTAAATCGAAGACGATTGACTCTGGTTTGACTTTAGTAATATTAGAATTTGTTAGCTTACATGTGAAAGCTGGTGAAAACGAATAATGTATTTTTTGGTTTTCTGCTCAAGGTAACAAAAAGCAAAACTAAAAGTGGATTTGTGGGAGGTTACTGTCACTTTCGCTTTAAAAAAGGAGTGGTCCCGCTTGCAATCCACATGTTGGTATTGTAATTCATATTAAAAAACAACAACATTTGTATCAATTTATATCTCATAAATTGTGTGATGCATTTATCTTTTTTTTTTTATATTTTAAATCATTGCAAACTATCTCATTTGTACTGAAATTTCATTCATATCTACAATTTGAAAGTTTATTATTTTTTTTTTTAAATTTTAAGTTACGACACGATTGGTCCAGTGAGAAATAGGAAATAATAATAATAAAGTTTATTTCAAAAACACGCTTCATCCCCAAAGGCTCGAAGCGCGGTACAAAGTCAACAAAAAACAAATCTATAATTTACTACATTTAAAACAAACGCAACACTACAAAAACTAATTACTAGCATACAATTGCAAAGTCTTTCTAGCCATTTCAACCATAAGCAACACAGCCATTATGCATTAACTGGAAAATAAGGTAGACAATCATCACAGAAGGTGTTTGCGAAATAGATATGTCTTTAAATCGGTTTTAAAGGACTCCAGTGTCTGGTTGTTTCTGAGATCGACAGGAAGGGCGTTCCAAATTGTTGGACCAGCAAATGCGAAAGTGCGCTTTCCGTAAGTCTCAAGGCAAACACGTGGTGTCGAGAGTTCGCCACTATCGGATGAGCGGAGCTCTCTAGTGGGTACATAAGGCGTCAGCAGCTCTTTTATTCTGTTTTTTTCTGTTGTTTGTTCGCTGACGAAGGCTTCCTGCCGACACTTTTGTTGTTTTGTTGCGTTCCCTTTTTCAGGCTTGACTATACGTTGTTTCACTCATTTCCTATTTCTCACTGGACCAATCGTAACTTAAAAATTTAAAAAAAAATAGACTTTCAAATTGTTGATATGAATGAAATTTCAGTACACATGAGATAGTTTGCAATGATTGTTTTTTTAAAGACCAATCAGTAAGCCTATTTCAAACGCATTATATAATCGTAAAAATGTATGTATAAAAATATTTAGCATTTAAAACCTGATATGGGCATATGCTTACAAACAGGAGGAGGACGGCTTTTAGGCTGAAGTTGATGATGAAGCAATAAGAAATAGACAAATACAAAGGGTGGAGGAAAACCTGAAAAAGTAATAAATAAAATAATAAAGTTGGGAATTGTTATTAAATCTATTAACATGAATATGTTCTGAAGAAAATAGGAAACAGAAATCTATAAAAAAAACATATTTGTTTTGGAACATAAAAAATAAATACAAAATTACCGCATTCAAACCCAATTAAAAAATCTGCAAATTTCACGTTATACTTACCGATAGTTACATTCGCTGTTAGAGAGAGTGATCCCTCTTGATTAGGCTGTATAATTATTTATATAATAAACAATTACAATGTAAGAAGTGGTAAATTTATTTTGGAAAATGTTTACATGATTTAAAATTTATTTTCCGTAATATTATAATTATGATACATATTAATGATTATAACATGTTCATATTATTGAGCTATCTTTAACTATTGTAGGATTTATTATGCCAAGTAAGGCATACAATCGTTCGACTCTCACAACATATCACAAACAAACTCAATCCGATCCACAGAACCACAGTTAGTACGGTACTCAATTAACTCAGAAACAGTGCAGTCTACTTTTGTAGACTTTTGCCTTTGCCCTTCTTTGTTTAGTTTGATTATCCGGAATTATTTTATAAAATATGACAGAAAAATGATTCTTAATATATAATTGTTGAACTCAGTGTTAGACCTGTTGGTGTTGTTCATGGCAAAGATCCAATTCAAATTCCCATGTTTGAGAGGTCAGATAAAGGGGGATGAAAAACCAAGACTAATTAACTTAACTAACTAAGTAGTAAGACTAATAAGTAATACTAAGCGGGTAGGCAAAGGCTAAAAGGCCTTAAAATAGGGACACTTGCTTGAGTGACTTGTCTTTTATTTTTTAATAAATTTTTTATATGTGCATTAATTCATTAATAATAATAATGAGAATATTTTGGCCCCAAAAAATGGAAATATAAATTTCAAAGAACTGGATAAATTTGATCAACAAACTAAAAATAATTTATTTGTGTGAGTCTTTTAGTTTTATCATTACCTTTGTTTTACTGTGTTCAACTGAAGCTGTAGTAGCCAAGTTTATAATTCTAGACCTAGGCCTCAGCCTCAGAAACCAATAAACACACATAATTTATACAATATTAACATTTTATAGTTTAACTATCAGTTTATGAGAACTCTGGAAAGCCTTATACTAGATCCAAAAAAAACACAACAACAACAACAAAAAATAACAAAAAACCCCCACTCTAATTGATATGACTTTGATTCAATGTTGATTGAAAGGTTCAGGCTCAGGTATTTTCCATTTTTTAGAGTTTTAAAAGCTATACTTTATAAAAAACTAGGAAAAAAAGCTCTAAAACACTATTAATATCAAATTAAATTTTTGGATATGGGCTGATTAAAATAACCGTAACTTAAGTATTACCTAAAAGCAATTTAATTTTCTTTTATTACTGAGTTTCAGGGTATTAAAAAAAATATTTCCAGCAATTTTTTATGTTAAATTTGAGAAATTACACATTTGGTTATTTATTTTGCATATTATATTATTGAATCACTGATGAATTTAAATTTTACTTGGCCAATGTGCTATTAAATAATTTAATTTTAAGTTACAAAATTTAAATTTTCTAAATTTTGGACCCTACATTATGAAGTTGAATAAATGGACACAATATCTTTGCTGTCTTGTCTGCCAATGAAGGCATATAGCAGAAATGTTCTTGTAATGGTCCTGTTCTTTATTAAACCGAAACATTTATAATATTGTTTTCCTATTTATTTAAATAATTAAAAAAACTAAACCTTTTAATTTTCAACCATACCTTATGTCTATCCTACTGTTATTTTAAACATACTTTTTTTGTGATTAATTTTGTTATGCATACTTTTTATTTCAGTTTACCCAAGTTGTTCATCACTATCCTGCATGATTATAAAGTGTACCCAATGGATATCTTCTTCAATTATTGAGCTAAAAAATGAGAATGAACTAATTTCAGAAAAATGAGTCAGCCTGCTGCTGGCTGAGCTCATGTGAAAAATGGACATCATATCAGGATTTGTTGTTTATGTAAACAGCTTCGATATTGACTACATATCTTGGGTTCTATGGGTATTGTACCCCATACTTATAACCTTTTTGCTTCCTGCCTTTATTGTGCTCTTTCTTTATCTTACATCTCTTGCTCTATTCATTTACAAGCAGCGAATGAAATTGAAAGCAGCATATGATCATGACTTTTGGGATGGTGCAAGGAAAACACTTGGTGTCTTCTGGTGGGCTCAGGCAAGAATATGGCATGGTAAAATACAACTTCATCATAGATTCTTTAAAAGGGTCCAAAAAAATGTTTGGGTGCAACAGGCGGAAGAGGGTGGGTTATGAAAGTGTGATTATTTTTGCATATCAAACAATACGTAATATATGGATATTCTCAGAGGAGCTCACAATTCCAAGTAATGTGTTTTTTTAAAATAAAATGTAAATATTGTTAAAAAAAGTTTTTATATTTGCTGTGGTCAATCCAAATCAATATTATTGTTGATAAGAGTTTTCTAATATTCAAGTTTTTAAATTTTTTTTTGACAGTGTGCGATGCTAGCTTTAGATTTTTTAATTTCTTTCTTAAAATGGAAAACTTAAAAAAAAAAATAAAAGGTGATACAAATGTTATAAATCCTTTAAAAAAAAATTTTTCTGTTTATTTTCAACCAGGCTATGAAGTTGAAGGTCTCCACCACATACCAGAAACCGGCCCTGCTTTGATTATTTACTATCATGGTGTTTTACCTGTTGACCTCTACTATGTTTTAACCACTGTCTTACTGGAGAAGAACAGACTTGTTCATTTAGTTGGAGACAAATTTCTGTTTTACATGCCAGGTTTGAAATTTAGTTCGAAATACTTTTGAATGAATTTTTTAGATCTCTGAGGGGCACAGATGTGTATTATAAAAAAAAAAAGGGTGGTAAATGTCCCTCAAAATCTTCCATCTCTGCGTGTGTTCGAAACAAAAAAAATTAAAGTTTCTGAAGAAAAAAACCAATGACAGAATACTCATTTACAGCTGACATCTTAATGCTAAAAAACTTACATCAACATGAAAAAAAATTAAAATAATTTGAACTTAATTATATTTAGGAACTTCTTATTCCTGCCCAAGACAATCAGGGACTGGAACAAGTTTTCAAAAGGAACAGTTGAGGCGACAACACTAGACACATTTGCGTCTATTGCCTCAAGCCTTCCAACCCCCAGTGCATGATTTCCTCACAAAGTAGCACTTGCAATCAGTGAAATATCCTCATCAACACCAAGCACAGAAACATTGCAAATCCCCTCTACATGCATAGGAGCCAAAATGATCAATACATTGATCGTGGGCCCATAATATATAGAAGAGGAAGAAGAAATAAAAAGACCTTTAAAAATCTGTTAAAAATATGTATAAATATTAATATTGATTCATGGCTGTTAACTCTAAATAAGTGGGGCAAGTATTTTATCCTTTATAAAGCATGATAAAATAATAATCAACTTTACTTGGATTTTATATAAATAAAAATATAATTATTGAAATTAATAGATATGAACTTTAATCATTGAATAATAGAACTTTTCAATTTATTTCAAAGCCTGTGAAAAAAAATATGTTGTTTTTGCTCTATTCACTTACTTTCCATGCTCATTAAACTTTATTGATAAAAAATTAATTGCCACCAGATGCATTTAACAAAGGCTTCTTTCATTGAGTTTATAGAAAAAAGTATTTTGTGACTTAAGGAGTTGATTTACTTTCTGCTGTTTTTTAGGTTGGCAGACAATGATGGAAGTTTTTAATGTAGCACCTGGAACTGTTTCTAGTTGTGTGGATGTATTGACTAATGGACATTTGCTATCTATAGCACCAGGTGGGTAGTTATTGTACTGGACATTTGCTATCTATAGCACCAGGTGGGTAGTTATTGTACTGGACATTTGCTATCTATAGCACCAGGTGGGTAGTTATTGTACTGGACATTTGCTATCTAAAGCACCAGGTGGGTAGTTATTGTATAAAGTCAAGTTTGGTATGAAAAGTGTGAAATCATAATATTCTCAAAACAGAGATAAGACTCAGATTACAAGTCATGTATATTTGACAATGGCAAACTTATCATAAGTTTTAAAATCACTAGATAATGACTAATATTCTAATATAATTTTATTCTCCAAACTTACATTCCAAGGTGGAGTTAGAGAAGCGCTTTTTAGTGATGAGAACTACAAATTGCTGTGGAATAAAAGATGTGGATTTGCAAAAGTTGCATTACAAGCAAATGTGGTAATTGTTTTATTTTGAAAAAATCTAATGAAACTTATCAATAGGTATTTGCCTACAGCAACACATCAAACACCTTAATGAAAGCAAAGATCCCATTTCAATAGAATAAAGGTGTTTAACTTCCACACCTTATTGGCTTCAAAAACTTCCTTAAAAAATTAATGGCTGTGGTTGAGTAAAAAGATATTTTACATATAAAACTATCCATATTTACATTTTATTTAGATCCCTCAGAATAATATCTCAGATGTTTACATTTTTAATTTCAGCCAATCATTCCAATGTTTACTAAGAACATCAGGGAAGCTTTCAGGACTCCTTATTGGGCAAGAGGTTTGATGATATTTATAATTTCTTTTATGACTCCTTATTGGGCTAGAGGTTTGATGATATTTATAATTTCTTTCATGACTCCTGATTGAACAAGAGATTTGATGATATTTATTATTTCTTTTATGACACCTTATTGGGCTAGAGGTTTGATGATATTTATAATTTCTTTCATGACACCTTATTTGGCTAGAGGTTTGATGATATTGATAATTTATTTCAATATGCCAATATTAACAGAAAATAATTTTAACATTAATCGATGAGCTGTGAATTATGGTGAGATAATTTATTTCAATGAAAAATTCTATATTCATTGGACCATTACACGAACTATAACTTAATATACATATCAGATATGTTTTTGTGTTGCATTAATCCAACTTATAGAATTAAAGAAGAATGATTGTAAACAATGTTTATTTATTTTTGTTTCCAAATTTCAGCTTGGCTTAGGGGATTATATGAAAAAACTAGGATACCATGTGTTCCAGCGTATGGTTTTTTTCCTGTTAAGTTGAAGTAGGATTTTAATTTTTATTATAATTTTATTTTTTAAAATTTAAGACTGCATTACTATTATATATTGGCCATGGTATAAGTATTTTCAGATGAAATGGCCATGTTAGAAGTAAATTAATCATTAGTGGGCCTTGTAAAAACATTTCATCATCAGCTGACAATGTTAGAAGTAATTTAATCAATTATCTAGTCCTGGATAAAATTTTAATTAATCATTAAATTAGTTCATTATTCTATATACGACTGGCATTGTCATTCAAATGATAATATAATTATTTTCGTGCTCCAGAACAATTTTTGGTGAGCCTATTTTACCTAATCCTAACTTGACTGCAGAGGAGTTGGCAGAAAGGGTGAGTAACATTATACCTATTTCTAATTTATTCTATTATTTATATAGGATGAAATTTTTTTTTTTTTTTTTTTTTTTTTTTTTAAATGACCAGCTTTAAAACGAGGTTAATCTTCCTTTAAGTGAAGATGATATATCCTGTAAGTGAAAGTGATGAAATTGTCTTAACTCTTTCAGTGCCAAGCCTCGATATAACGTCGATTTGACTGGTCACGTTTGTGCCAACTCGCGATATATCGTCGGAATAATTTACATAGTTTATTTCGTTGCCTGTGGCTATCAATCCGACTTTTTATGCTCTTAAACCACGGATAACTCTTCCTACTTCCTTCTTGTTAGAAGTTGGGCTTTTTTGCATGGGTTTTTTTAATAATTGTGACCTTTTTTCTTGTTTTTGTGTTGAAACTTTTGTAAACAAAGCATTGGCCACGCCTACACCAAGTAGATCAGATGTTACCAGACCACCTGGCTGTCAAGTGTGCAGGCTCAAGAGCTTTTATTGCAAATAATCAATGCTGAAACATCAGACAATAATAATGACTCGTTTGAATTTGATCAGGTGATGATTATCAGCTTTCTGATGCCGATGAGTCGGTAGATGGAAATAGAGGAGGTGATAACAATAGTGGTGACTATGAGGATTCAGATAATAATACTCCTGTTCCTTCAAAGAGAAGTCGGAGATCAGGCAGAAAAGATGCAGGAAGAAAAGGATCAGGGAGAAATATAGCTGCTACTGTTAGCTATGATGGTGATGCAGGTCATCAGTCAAATAATAATGGATGGAGGAAGGCAAGAGAGGGTGCAGAGGTTGGTGCTTCATTTCATTTTAGGGAGGGTAACAGTGGGCCATGTGTAAATTTGCCAGAAAATGCCACTTCATATGATTTTTTAAAACAAATTATTACAGATGAAATTATTGATGATTTATTGACTTGAATCAATTCATACAGTAAATTAGTGATGCAGAAAAATGTCCACCTTTTAGAACACTCATGTCTTCATAAATGGACAATTGTAAAACACCCTGATCTTTTGAAGTTCTTAGCTGTTCTGATAAATATTGGAATGGACCAAAGGCCTCAAATCAGTGACTGGACCAAAGACCTCAAGTCAGTGACTGGACCAAAGGCCTCAAATCAGTGACTGGACCAAATGCCTCAAGTCAGTGACTGGATCAAAGGCCCCACATCAGTGACTGGACCAAAGGCCTCAAGTCAGTGACTGGACCAAAGGCCTCAAGTCAGTGACTGGACCAAAGGGCTCAAGTCAGTAACTGGACCAAAGGCCCCACATCAGTGACTGGACCAAAGGCCTCAAGTCAGTGACTGGACCAAAGGCCCCACATCAGTGACTGGACCAAAGGCCCCACATCAGTGACTATTGGTCCAAAAATGCTATAAACACACACCATGGCATGGACATATGTTTCAAGAAATGAATTTCATCTGCTTTTCAACACAATGAATGCTGCATGCTTCTGAACCTGATGCGCAAGGAAGGAGCGGCTAAGATTGAGCCCTTTGTGTCAAAGCTGCTGGATTAATGTAGGAAATGTTTTTATCCATATGAAAATATCAGCATAGATGAAATGGTCATTGGCTACAAGGGTCGCTTCAAACACAAGCAGTTCAATGCTGCAAAGCCTGCAAAGTACCATATCAAAACATTTGGGCTTTGTGACTCAACAACAGGTTACGTCATCAATCTGCCGATTGTGACTCAACAACAGGTTATGTCATCAATCTGCCGATCTACTTGGGCAAGAAAACAGCATATAACCCTGACCTTGATCCCAATGCGGGACAAGCAATAAAAGTGTTTGATACCCTTATGCAACCCCTGCAGAAGCCTCATCACCACATCTCTACAGACAGGTAATACACCACAGCAGCTCTCATACAGTATCTGCAGACAAAAGGCTACAATTATACTTGCACTGTTCAAGCAGCAAGCCGAGATTTTCCTCCTGATTGGAAAACTCAAAGACTGGCACATAAAGAGGCAGTATGGCGTTCCAATGAAGGAAAAAAATGTTTTGGCTGTTTCATGGAGGGACAAGAAAGCAACAAAAAAAATGCTTAATGGCGACAACATGCGGCAAGGTGGGATACATTGAGAAAGTGGAGGGGCGTCAGACGGTTGTCAAACCTGAGGTCATTGACAAGTATAATATGTCGATGAATGGCTGTGATTGTGTTGACCAGCAAGTATCATATTATGGTTGCCAGGGTCGCAAAATAATAAAGTTGTGGAAAAAGATATTTACTTGAGGTTAAGTGGCGCAAGTCAACAACCACATTCTCTATAGTTAGCCCTACTTAATTTAAACCTACATCATGTTCTTTGGATCCCATCCCCACCCCCCTGTTGGTTGAGTCATTAGATAACGATAACCGTAATAAATGAAAGCTTGTCTTCTGGCACTTTTCCCCCTCTTTGTAAATCAGCTGTCATCAAACCATTGCTTAAGAAGCCCGGTCTGGATGAAAATAATTTAAAAAACTATCGGCCAGTATCTAACTTATCTTTTTTATCTAAAGTAGGCCTAATTGATTCTAAAAAAACTTTTTGCTTACTTAAATGACCACTCTCTTCTCAGTTCTAATCAGTCGGCCTATAGACATTTCCACAGCACAGAGACAGCTCTCTTGAGAGTCAGTAATGACCTCTTGCGTGCAATGGACAGCGGTAATGTCTCCATCCTGATCCTCTTAGACCTCAGTGCGGCCTTTAACACTGTTGACCATGAAATCCTTTTCAAAACCCTTGAAAATTACTTTGGAATTTCTGGTTCAGTTTTGGCTTGGTTTAGGTCATACCTCTCTGATAGAACGCAGGCGGTCTCTGTCGATGGCTGTCTCTCAGGCAGTTCTGATTTGGTGAACAGAGTGCCCCGGGTGTTCGTGTTAGGCCCGGTTCTGTTAACGATGTATACCATGCCAGTGCTCCTCTTGCTTGGGAGGCATGCTGTGGAGAGCCAGTCATTTGCAGATGACATGCAGCTATACAAGCATACCCACCCCTCTCTTGTCGATTCCGCTGTCCAGACTTTGCGGGGGTGCATTGATGATGTCAAATCATGGATGACACTCAGCAAGTTGAAGCTTAAGGATGACAAAACGGAAGCACTCCTCATTCACAATCACAAATCATCCTCTACCTCAACTGTTCCCACCTCATTTCAAGTAGGTGACTCCGACATACAGTTTACACCCTCTGCTAGGAATCTTGGTTATATTCTTTCTAACAACATGTCTCTCAATAAACATATCTCTCACATTTGTCGTTCTGCATACACCGCTATCCGTCAGATCAGTTCCATACGCCACTACCTCACAGTTAGCGCTACAAAAACTCTAGTCTGTGCTCTTGTTCTCTCTTGTCTTGACTATTGCAACTCTCTTCTGTCATGTTCACCAAAACACTTCATAGAAAAACTGTAGAAAGTTCAAAACACAGCCGCTAGACTACTTCTAAAGGCAGCCCTAGGCTGGGGTACCGCGCTATATAAGACCACTTATTATTATTATTATTAGACCCAACCTGTAGATAAAAAACCAGTTTCCTTCATAGAGTTCAATTAGCAGCTCATTCAGCAGCTCATTCAGCAGCTCATTCAGCAGCTGGAAGGAGTTTCTAAAGCCCAGAACACAGACAGTGTATAGGACGATCGCCAACAGATCTGACCAGGACCAGCTACAACAGGATCTCAATCTGTTAGCTGAGTGGGAGATGAGCTGGGACATGGAATTTCACCCTGCCAAGTGCCAGACACTATCAATCTCTAGAAGTTGTACTCCTCTACACTACCAATACAAACTGCACGGCCATATTCTTGAGCAAGTTTCCTCCGTAAAGTACCTGGGTGTTACCATTCAAAGAGAGGTCCGCTGGGACGAGCATATTAACAATGTATGTAACCAAGCAAACCAAGCCTTGGGGTTCTTAAGGCGAAATCTAAAGATTGGCAACTCCTGTGTGAAAGAAAGAGCATATAAAGCCTTTATCCGTCCGATTTTAGATTATGCATCTTCAGTCTGGGACCCATTTACCCAGAAGAGCATTGACAGGTTGGAGGCGGTCCAGCGACGAGCAGCACGCTTTGTCCTAAACCGCTACAGGAATACCTCTAGTGTTGGCAGCATGCTAGAAACACTAGGCTGGTCACCATTGGAGAAACGACGACGACAATCCAGGCTCTCCATGATGTACAAGATAAATAATGGGCTGGTCCACTGTTCCAGTATTAAACAGAAACTCGTCCCTCTCCCCCATAGACAGCGACGAGGCCATGACAGGCAATTCAGGCTCATACCAGCAAGAAGCCAGTATAGGAGCTGCTCATTCCTGCCCAAGACAATCAGGGACTGGAACCATCTTTCAAAAGGAACAGTTGAGGCGACAACACTAGACACATTTGTGTCTATTGCCTTAAGCCTTCAAACCCCTAGTGCATAATTTCCTCATCACCACCAGTAACAGAAACATTGCAAATCCCATCTACATGCATAGGAGCCAAAATGATCAATAAATTGATCGTGGGCCCTTAAGATATAGAAGAAGAAGAAGAAGACACTAATTGACCTAGTGCCCACCAAATCAAAGCCAGGTAAAAAGTCCATCAACAGTGCAGAGGAGCGTCTCAGTGAAAAAAATCACCTGGTTGACTTTGACGGGCATGATCAACAGTGTTCTTGCTGTTCAGTGCACAAAATAACCAAACGTAGCTGCATGTGTGTGCATTGGATGCACAGGAAGGCCTTATCTGTGTGTTAAGGAGTGCTTTACAAAGTACCACACAGAAAGAAATTTGAACTAAAATAATACATTGTACCGCGCTATCAAAGACCACTAATTATTATTATTGTTATTAAATAACGTGTTTGACATTAGTGTATATATACGACATATGCAAAGAAACTGTTTCCTTTGGTTGACATCAACGTTACAAAAATGTGTACAAGTCTGTCAATAATTGGATTATTTTAAAAATGTAAAATGCATCCTGATCAAAAATGGATATACTTTCTGAGGATTGAAGCAGAATATGATATCGTTTACACAGACAATATAGTAGTCTGATAAGTTCAGATTTGTTGAACATTTTTTTTAAAAAGAAAAATTTTATCTCATAATACTACCAATAAAATTAAAAAAATTATTTTAATATTGTTTTATTTCTTACATATTATTATTATATTTCGAATTTCCTTTAATTTGATATAAAATACAGTTATCTTGCTAAGAAAATGGTATTCAAAATTCATTGACAAATAAGAGGACCCTAAAAAATTTCCATTGGCCAAAAACTGGTCCGGCGCAAACATAGAAAACGCCCTGGCATCGAAAGAGTTAAAATCCGGGAGGGCTATGCATGCAAAGCTATGATAACTTTCAAAATTGTATTAATTGTCAGTTCATAAGCTATAACATACATTGTTACATTTACTCTGTAAATTGTCAGTTCATAAGCTATAACTTACATTTTTATATTGACTCTTTACATTTTCATTTCATTGCTAAGCTATAACTGACATTGTTACATTGACTCTGGACGTAGTTTACTGACATTGTTACATTGACTCTGGATGTAGTTTACTGACATTGTTACATTGACTCTGGACGTATTTTAATAAAGGCACTTTTAAATTAAGAAGTTTCTTTTTTTTCTTTCAAGGTCAAATCAGCAATTGAAAACCTAATCGAGAAGCATCAGACATGTCCAGGAAGTATACTACGTGCTTTGCTAGAGCGAATTCCTTTCTTACGATGAAGGCTATGTCTTACTTCATTCTCATTTATTTCATTGTAACGATAATATATATGTTACTGCCAATTTGGGAACTGGCCAGCCAAATTGGAAATTTAATAATGTAGCTGTAAATTGACCGACCAAATATTAATTTTCTTTATTTTTGCGCTTTGGCTGGTCAGTTTACAAAATGGCATGAGGGGATCTCATGACAGCTGTAAGATAATCTTGCATCAGCATCTAATTTTGGCCAGGGATTTCCCGCCACTGCGCAAAGTAGCCTGCAAAACTAGAATATACACAGGCTATTTCAAGTACATCAGACCATGGCCACACCTCTCAGCCAAAGTGTGATATTGCCGGTATAATGGGAACTGGCTGAACTTTCGGTTTTTGCTGTAATGTAACATATATATATAAAAAATATATCTATAAAATAAGCCAGTGATAAGGTATTAACTAGTGTGAGTTCTCAGGGTGTTTAAACTTTCTGTTTCCAACAGTGAGCCTGAAATTTTTTTATTTTATTTATAATATATGTTAAAACCATGTGCCATAATGAAACATGGCGAATGTATAAGTCTACTGATCAATAAGAAATTACATCTCTCTCTCTCTTATCATAGAATAACAAATGTTTCATTTATAATGAAAGGTCTGCTATTTAAAAAAAACTGCTTTGATCTATCACCTTATGAAATTGTCTTTGACTTTGAGTTATAAAAATGTATATTTTTGTCAAGTTTTATGTCAAACAGTATTTCCGTACATTCCAATTAAAAAAAAAAAATTACTTTATTTATTTTAACATGAAACCTCCCCCAAACCAGCCACCTTCTCAAACTCAGTTGATTATGGTAAAAAAAAAATGACATGTAAGATTTATTTAACTAATTAGATTTTTAAAACAAAAATGGAAAAACATCTCTTTGACAGCATCAAAAAAAAATTACCCTAGAAAGATAATATTTTCATTATGAGTTTAAGTCTTTATGTAGGTTCTTTGTGTTCAAAAAAAAATTTTAATTTCTTTTTTTAGCAGACATTTCAAACATGTATTGAATGTTTCATAACAATGAAATTGATATCTAATTTCAAAAATGCTCACACGAGGGTATGAAACTGTGGTCTAATAAAAGAGACTTTTACAGCTTTGTCTATAATTGTCCATTTTCAACTGAATGATATTCTTGACTCCATTTTTTTTTAACATGCCTCATAATGCTGAAGACAGCCACTGGCCATTTTTTAAGTGTTTAAAAATGTCCATCCTTATATTGATGCCACACAAATATTTTGTAAATAAAACAATATGGGTTAAGCTTTAATAATGATTACACAGAATATAAATGTAAACAATTTGGCAAATGTGTTCATCAGGACAACAAAAAAAAACAAAAAAACATTCACACAAGTATAAATAAAATTTAAATAATAATATATATAGATATGTATCATACCTAAAAAATGAAAGAAAAGAATAGGAATAAGAATGGGCACAAGTCCCTGACCAAAACAAAGCTCAGTAGAATGGAAAGGAAGTGGGTGCAAGTCAAATTGAAAAACCTAACAGGAAAAAAGCATTGCAGCTATGTAAACTTTGTGAATTTGTTTTTTTGTCATGTCTAAAGACAGCTTTACTCTAGAAAATTATGTGTTAAAGACAGCATTACCCCAAAAATGTTATGTCTTTAACAGCTTTACCCTAGAATGTTATGTCTTAAAGACAGCTTCACCCTAGAATATTATGTCTTAAAGACAGCTTTTCCATTCAATTTCCCACTCACATTTTCAGCCCACTAATCTCATGTAGCTTTTTTTTCTTTTTCAAAGGACAAAAAGTGAACAAGAAGTTACTTTTAAAGCTCAACTGGTTCTGTGCTTAAAGTTTTTATAAAATTTTCGAGTCTCTCGACTTTTTCAAAACTATTGTGATATGATAGCCAATGTTTTTGTTAACATGCTTTGGTGTAGATGTTTACGATGAAGATAATTTTTTTATGATTATAGCCACCCTCGTCATCAATTATTTTATATTTATAACATAGGTAGCCTTTGTCCTGCATTTGAAATTGTCAATTCATGAACCCAGATTCTGATTTTAAAAAAATTGTCTTGCCAATCTTGAATTTATTTATGTATTTTCAATATAGATATTCCGTATTGTCACAGCATAAAAAGAGATTTTAGATTTGAAACAAGTTTTATTTTTATGAATCCCCCTTATCCCAAAGACATTTCTTCAATCGTTAGTTTCATTGTCACTGGAGGCAACTGCCCTATGAATTACTGCATTCATCTTACAATAGACTTACTTCTGGATTTGTCTTTCTAGATACTTTCTAAGGGCAATGATTTTCAAGTCCTTAAAAAAATAATTTGGTTCAGTCATCTTGACTTGCATGTCCTGCCAGTCATAACCTTAAAATTTCTTTACAATATGTTTTACCGCACCAACTATAAAAATTGTCTAGTGTTTGCCGGGTGTAAATAAACTTGTTAATTTATTATAAAATTTCAAGCAAACCTCTTGTGTATGTAAAGCGTCTGGCAAACCACTTTTGAATGTAACTGTCTGGCAAAACACTTGTGAATGTTAACTGTCTGGCGAACCACTTGTGTATGTAAACTGTCTGGCAAAGCACTTGTGAATGTAACTGTCTGGCAAACCACTTGTGTATGTAAACTGTCTGGCAAACCACTTGAGTATGTAAACTGTCTGGCAAACCACTTGTGTATGTAAACTGTCTGGCAAACCACTTGTGTATGTAAACTGTCTGGCAAAGCACTTGTGAATGTAACTGTCTGGCAAACCACTTGTGTATGTAAACTGTCTGGCAAACCACTTGTGTATGTAAACTGTCTGGCAAACCACTTGTGTATGTAAACTGTCTGGCAAAGCACTTGTGAATGTAACTGTCTGGCAAACCACTTGTGTATGTAAACTGTCTGGCAAACCACTTGTGTATGTAAACTGTCTGGCAAACCACTTGTGTATGTAAACTGTCTGGCAAAGCACTTGTGAATGTAACTGTCTGGCAAACCACTTGTGTATGTAAACTGTCTGGCAAACCACTTGTGTATGTAAACTGTCTGGCAAACCACTTGTGTATGTAAACTGTCTGGCAAAGCACTTGTGAATGTAACTGTCTGGCAAACCACTTGTGTATGTAAACTGTCTGGCAAACCATTTGTGTATGTAAACTGTCTGGCAAACCACTTGTGAATGTAAACTGTCTGGAACACCACTTGTCAATGTAACTGTCTGGTAAACCACTTATCAATGTAACTGTCAGGCAAACCACTTTTGAATGTAACTGTCTGGAACACCACTTGTCAATGTAACTGTCTGGCAAACCACTTATCAATGTAACTGTCTGGCAAACCACTTTTGAATGTAACTGTCTGGCAAACCACTTGTCAATGTAACTATCTGGCAAACCACTTGTGAATGTAACTGTCTGGCAAACCACTTGTGAATGTAACTGTCTGGCAAACCACTTGTGAATGTAAACTGTCTGGCAATCCACTTGTGAATGTTACTGTCTGGCAAACCACTTGTCAATGTAACTGTCTGGCAAACCACTTGTGTATGTAGTAAACTGTCTGGCAAACCACTTGTGTATGTAAACTGTCTGGCAAACCACTTGTGTATGTAAACTGTCTGGCAAACCACTTGTGAATGTAAACTGTCTGGCAAACCACTTGTGAATGTAACTGTCTGGCAAACCGCTGTTCAATGTAACTGTCTGGCAAACCACTTGTGAATGTAACTGTCTGGCAAACAACTTGTGAATGTAACTGTCTGTTAAACCACTTGGGTATGTAAAATGTCTGACAAACCACTTGTGAATGTAAGCTGTCTGGCAAACCACTTGGGTATGTAAACTGTCTGACAAACCACTTGTGTATCCTTCTCTATTGACAGATTGTATTTGTCACAACATGAATTGGATATTTCAAAATAAACTTGTGTCAATATTAATCTTGAGTTTGCTGACATGTGCTTGACACATTGAAAAATGAGGACAATGCTTTTTATCCTACTGGTTAAGTGTGTTCTTACCAACTTTGATCTTTTCAGCATTGCATTAGGAATGAGATCCCTAAAATATGGGGAATGAGATCCCTTAAGTATTAGGAATGAGATTCCTAAAGTAATCTGTATGAAAAACTCAGTGCTTCAATGTGCAGTTGTTACTTTAGTGAGCTTTGCTGTGAAAAGTCTGTTCTGTAGCTGCATGGTGCTGATCTTTGTGATGCTGACATTTGTTCTATTTTCCTAATTTTTTTTTCTTACAAGACAGATAACCAAAGACTTAATATTTGCTTAAATTATATTATGCCAAGAAATAAGTAAAAGATTTATTTTTGTTATGTACATAATTTTTTTTAGATCAAATTGGCAGGATTGTTACTCAAACCAATAACCAGGTCAATTAATAAGAATTAATATACAATAGCTGTTTGCAGGCATTCGATTTGAAATATATGGTGGATACATTGATAATTATTGGTGAAATTAATATTTTTTGTTAGGTTTCATTAAGAAAATTTGATCAACAAAATTTGTTTATTTGAAAATATTTCATCCTTTGTATATTAACGTACTAGGACCATATTGACTATAATAATAAATATAAAAAAAAAAAAAAATATTCATTTTGGCTCGCCTATTTACTTTCATTCATCGGACTTTGTTCATTGTGGGAGGTTTATTTCTCACTGATTTGATGTTAATAAAAATATACCTTTAAAGCAACCATTCTTCAAATTTGATAGCAAGAGCGCAACCTTTTACTTTAAAGGAGTTTTCCCATTTCCATTAACTATTTCTGCTGTTAAAATGAATGCAATACTTTATCACATATCCCCAAATAAGCGTATGTCCCCTCAAAGGGTCTTTGAACCTTTTAACAGGTGCGCAGACAATGAGTTGTTTTAGAGTTCATACGTCTATAGTTCCTCCTTGGCATGCGATATGGACAAAGTTTCAATTTGACTAGTAGCCTTGACTTGAGCTGTATTTTGTTTAAAGTTAAAGTGAGGGAGAGTTGCTCAATTCATCAGCCTCACTCTCTCACCCTGGCTTATTTGATCCAATGGCAAGACCTGGTCAAGATGACTGGAAATAGACCAGGATGCAGTAGATGACCAGGAGTGTGTCTGGTTCACTTTGCTGTTTATGTGTTCTACGTTGCAGGGGTTTTCAGAATTTTCATCATGTCAATGTCATACTGTGTATGGGTTTCCAGGTTTGATTTCAGCGTCTGCCTTCTCTAACTTTTAGATTAGTGAAATCTAAGATCAACAAGTCCCATCCACACTGCCATCCAAGGTCAACAAGTCCGATTCAGCCTGCCATCCAAGGTCAACAAGTCCCATCCAGCCTGCCATCCAAGGTCAACAAGTCCCATCCACCCTGCCATCCAAGGTCAACAAGTCTCATCCACCCTGCCATCCAAGGTCAACAAGTCCCATCCAGCCTGCCATCCAAGGTCAACAAGTCCCATCCAGCCTGCCATCCAAGGTCTACAAGTCCCATCCACCCTGCCATCCAAGGTCTACAATTCCCATCCAGCCTGCCATCCAAGGTCAACAAGTCCCATCCAGCCTGCCATCCAAGGTCAACAAGTCTCATCCACGCGAGTCCACCAGCTTGGGATTGACTTAGTTTAGAATCAAAAGACATGAAAAGCAAAGAGCATTAAAGTGAAAGAATAAAGTCAACAATTGTGGCTATCATGAAAAAAAGTTTATAATGTTTATAGCATTCTTGCGAACATTGATACACAAGAAATGTTTCAAAATGTGACACACATACTTAAAAAATCTGTAAACCTTCAGATTATAATTGGTTGTAGGTGATTGTCAGTACATACAATAATATACATTTAAATTTACATTGTTTACTCAAAATACATACATTTTTAAAC